TGTTGTTTCGTCGCATGGATACCACACCGCGGAATACGGGAAATCAAAAAGGGCATGGCGTTATTTTATCTCTATTATAGTGTTCTGGTCCGTCTCTTTGGGGAGTTTTTGGTGTAACTCGCAAGGGCCCCTACTTGTCAGCCTTTTTATGGGTGTTTTGAGACTTTTGTCTACGGATCCTACCAGAACCGACTCCCTCGAACGGGAGAATGAGGAAGCATGAAATCGGCATCATTCTAGGTATTGATATATAACATAGGTCATGTATGCTGCATGGCAACTAGTACATACCACTGCCAGGTTTAGCGGCGCATCAAAGTGCCATGTGCATGTGAATGTGAGGGTGGTATTGCATGTTGTGAAAGTGTCGGACGTCGGTTCCGGATCTAAGTTCTACATGACGTGGAAAAGGAATAGCTCGGTCTTCGGAAGGCAATCCCGTAGACCGGAGACGACGTCTGCCGCCTGTTGCCGTTCGTAGGCGAGCTACACAAGGAGTCATGGAGTAATGATATCTTGAATCTTATCCTTCAGCCGTCGACAGCCCAACCAACTGGTCCGTGTACAGCAGAGTATAGTCATTTGATCACTTTCACGAGACACATGGCGGGAGGATTGGAGACGCGGCTACGAGTCATAATCAAGTCCAACTCGCCAATGTATTCGTTTAGGGTGCAGACGATTACGCGATGATAAGGCAATTTCGAGACGAGAGAATGCGCCTCTTTTACGTAAAGCCAGGGAGCGTCCTTGCTTCGAGGGCCTTGGGCAGGTGAGGGGTATAATCGGGAGAGACAATGGAAGGAAGCGGATGAGAGAGTTCTTGTGCTACCTACTCAAGCGCGGGAGCTAGCGGGTGACAGTGACAGCGTGCTTGCGTAGAGAGTTGAACCCATCTTCAGTCTTCCGATGGATGTAGCTATATCTGGGAATCGTGGAAGGGGTAGGTTGAACTGGCCGGCGGGCGGGCTAGGCCCCGGATAATGGAAGATGGGAAGGACGTCATGCGGCCACCCCTGGAACTGATTGATAACAAGAAATGTGAAAAAGACAAGGTAGTCAAATGGACGTCGAGAATCTGAGGTGAGAACATGGGAGTCGAGGGATGCCGGCCCGGGCACGAGTCGCTGAGGCTTTCAGTGTGAGATGAGAATCGAGATGCTGCAGCAGCGGTGCGGGTCCGTGATGGGCAGGGCCCTGCTGCCCTGATGGGTGACTCGTGGGAGGAGGGGAGGGCCTCAAACCGCAGTAGCACAGCTGTGACCTCGGGCCTAGCACACATTGTACGTAATTGAATGTACTCTGGGTGTATCAGACTCGGGAGGACACTTCATGGCTAGATAAGAGGAACGTCTGATAGGTAAGAGACAAGACCAATCGATAAGGCAAGAAAGGTGCGAACCTCGGAAAATCGACACCTGGCTCTCTTTTGGTTGTACTGAAGATAAGGTACCTTACCTCACTATACCTTTGTGAGGGAGGTAAGGCAGGTAAAGTCAGGTAGGAGAAAAGAGAACATAATGGAGGGAAAATGATTGCAGTCCGGATACCTTCGATTCCTATGCCTTGGAACGGGTGGTGGTGGTGGTGGTGGTGCGCATCACCCCCTCTTTCTCAACAAAAAAAGAGCAGAGAAGAAATGAGAAAAAAACTCTTTCTTCTCTTCTCTCTCCCGTATTCCGAAAAGGCCGAGCTTCCGTCCGTGGTTTTCTTGGTTGTGTGAGTGTCGGGTGTGAGATTGTCATGCGCCTTCGCGTCGCCCTGCCATTAGGGAACATCACCAAGTCCCGGAGGCGGTGATATTGGTGAAGTGGACAGCGGACGTGGGCGACGGGCCTCTTTAAATAATGCCTCGCGCGTTTTTCCGCCGGGTCACCTGCCGTTAAGTGGCACACCTCCGGGCGCGCCAGACCCCTAAGTGCAGGTGCTCCAGCGGTGGTCCAGCGGGCCCCAGCGATGTGCGGCGGGGGTCTGCCCCTTGCGGCCCTCTGGCTCCCTTCTCTTGCGGCGCTACGCCCGCCGACCGTGGGCCCCATAACTGTCCGGGGCTCCACTGATGTTCCCCTAAGTGCAGGTCTACCCGTGGTGGGGATGTTCGGGGGTGGACCGTCGACCTTCGTGGAGGGGCCCAAGGGGAGGTTCAGGGGTCCGCAGCCTGGAACACGCTGGTGTCATTGCCGTCCTGTCGCCGTCGCCGTCGCCGTCGCCGGGTCTTCACTCTTCAGTACCCAAGGTGCGAGGTGTCTTACATTCCTCACCTTTCCATTGTGTCCGGTAGCGTCACTTGCTTCGACACCACCCGTCTGTCCCACCTTCTACACAGCTACCTACGCAGTAGAAGTCTTCCGTCTTTTCCACAATCCACCCCGTCCTCGTCCTTGTTCCCCCCTTGGCCAGGAATGCGCGCGAATGCTTCCTTTCCCATCAGCCCTAGGCGCGCTAGCCATCCCATGACTGAGGCGGCCATGGTCATGGATGATGGCTGTACGGAGCCAGGTACTTCGTGGCCCGGAGCCCTTGGTGTCGCCGGTGACGGAAAGGCTTTAAACATACCTTGATCGCCCGTCTTCTGCTGATTCAAGACTCTCTACATATAATACTCCCCAACTTCTACCCTCCTCTTGACCTCTCCTCCTTCTCTTCCTCGTCTTCTTCTTCTTCACTTGAATCTCTTACCTCGATTACCCGCACATATCTTGTCACTGAACCAAGGTCAGCGCCACCACCATCGTCAACTTTCACCTACCACCACATTCCCCTCCTCCTCCACCATCCGTAATCACAAAGTTCGTACCCTCGGCGCATCGCAACCATGGTCCAGAACACATCAATGGTCACCTCCAAGTTCCTGAGCAACCCCGAGGACCTCGGCGTCGTTGCTGTTGGCTTCTCTGGCGGACAGGTAAGCATCGCCAATAGCCTACCCTCCCAAGGCAACGTAGAAATCTGACCCTCGCCCGCCTGCAGTGCAAGAAAGGCGTCGACGCCGCCCCCAAGGCCCTCATCGAGTCCGGCCTGCTCACCCAGCTCCGCGACGAGCTGGGCTACAAGCTCCACGGCGACGATGAGGTGCACCTCTACACCGACCTCGTACCCGCAGACGACCCCCCCTTCCGCAACATGAAGAACCCCAAGGCCGTGTCCTCCGTCACCGAGCGCATCGCCGACCAGGTCTACCAGCAGTCGCGCCTCGGCCGCTTGACCCTGACCCTCGGCGGTGACCACAGCATTGCCATTGGCACCATTGCCGGCTCTGCAAAGGCCACCCGCGAGAGACTCGGCCGCGAGATTGCCGTCATCTGGGTCGATGCGCACGCCGACATCAACACCCCTGAGACGAGCGACAGCGGCAACGTCCACGGCATGCCCGTGGCTTTCGTCACGGGCTTGGCCAAGGAGTCAAGACCCGAGTACTTTGGCTGGCTCAAGGATGAGCACATGCTAAGCATCAAGAAGCTGGTGTATATTGGTCTGCGCGACGTGGATGCAGGCGAGAAGAGGATTCTGCGCGAGAACGGCATCAAGGCGTTCAGCATGTTTGACATTGACAGGTAGGTCTCTCCTCTTCTCTTTCTTTCCGCATGGCATGGCCATGATAGACTTCTGACCGTTACGACTAACATCGTTTTCTTTTTAGATATGGCATCGGACGCGTCATGGAGATGGCGCTGGCGCACATTGGCAACGATACCCCCATTCACTTGTCGTTTGACGTTGACGCTCTGGACCCCATGTGGGCGCCGTCAACGGGTACCCCGGTCCGCGGCGGTCTCACATTGAGAGAAGGTGACTACATTTGCGAGTGTGTGCACGAGACTGGCAGCCTTGTCGCGCTGGACCTGGTCGAGGTGAACCCGTCACTCGCGGCCGAGCAGGAGGGCGCGGCGTCCGAGACGGTAAGAGCTGGCTGCTCGCTGGTGCGTTGCGCTCTGGGAGAGTCATTGCTCTAAGTTGGTAGCTTGAGCGCGCGGGGGACAGAAGGGAAAGGATGCGGCCACAAGGGATTCTCGACTTCTTGCAGAATCATGGCTGCTGACGGAGAACGGCGAGGGCTGCCTATCTATGGTTGCGGGAACACAGGGAAGATTAAACGGTACACGGAGGCAAAGTGAATTTGGCGTATAGCGCAATAGAAGACGGAACAAGTGAGGTGGCCAGGGAAACTTGGACGGAGTCAGACACGGGGTTGAGGTAGATATATACCAACGAATAGATTTATGAGCCGACCTTTCGTTGTCATGATTGATGCTAGGTAAGGTACTTTGGTACGAGGTCCCTTTGTTAACTCAGTAAACCAGCGATTATTCAAACGTGTCCGAACTTTACAGCGCACTCCCGTGGCTCAATTCCAAGGTCTCAACGACAACACAAAGTTCAATTGGGCATAAAGACATGTGAAATGGAAGGCTGAAGTCGTGAGGCGGTTCGGGTGCATATTGGAGTCTTTGAGCCTCGGAAACCGGGGCCGTGGGTGGCTGGCAGTGACAGCAGGTCCAATGTGGGCTCAGAGGACCCCACTTTCCTGCTCACCGATGGGATGTGTCGGTACCTTACCTGCTTACCTAAGGCAGAGGAAGGGACGGAGTCGGGATGCCTTCCATTCGCCCAGCCATCGCCATTTCCAGATGGAAAGAGAGATCAATTAATGTATGGTGTACTCCGTACCTTGACTAAGGCAAGGTACCTATTCCCTATTCGCAGATGAGAGAAGGAAGCTGGCGCCCCCAGTCACAATTTTCAAATCTACAACATACATACATTTCATAGACGATTTCTCGAATCGCAGTACATAATCTTCCCCGTCTAACCATAAGGTAACTACGGCGTAAATACGACATACTTTGGTTTGACGTGGCACCCTCCAAAACAGCCGCCGCGCCAACACCAGGGCAACCCACACCATCCATTCGATCCGTACGCCTACCTTACCTTGCCTTGGGTACTGTGCAGGCGTCAGGCCGACTTCTACCTGATTGCGAGGCGCTCGAAAACCGTTCCTGCTACCAACCCTGCCCTTCTAATAAGACGAACTCTTTGGCACCCGACGAGACGAACCGAGCCCACCTTTCCGCCCGACGCAGAGTAGCTAATCGACGCGATTGCCGCACGCGCATTGGCGATAGCATCCTACCCAGCCTCGCCGAACGAACAGAACCCGGAAATTCGGTACCCAACGTTGCCCATTGCGCTACTCGCCCCCGCCGCTCATCTCAGCGAAACCTCAAATCCATCGGGAGACCGAGAGCATTCAGCACGATCGATTAAATACCGATATTGGAGACACCTCCTCGTGCCCCATTCCGAATATCAGCGACAGTCGGAATACCTAGGCGACGCGATCCCACTCGACCAACACCAACTCATCGTCAACGAACCGAGCTGTAAATAGCAAATATAGGCACAATGGTGGCGTCAACACTGACGGGCAGCTCCCTCTACGAGAGGCGCGTTGTCGAGCGCGTCCACCGCTACCAATGGCCCGGCATTCAGCTCAACCTCTGGATCCTCGTCATGCTTGTGGCCGCCTGCCTCATCATCGGCGTTTTTGCGTCCTTTATCGAGACGCAGCAGCAACTGCTTCTGCCCATACCCTGGTGCGTGATTCACACTGCTATATCTGCCTCGCCCTCGCATTCCGTCATGTTGCCATATGCGCCTGGCCAAATGGCATGCCACGCTTCAACGACTACGCGGAAAGACGAGGGTTCCCGGCCAAGAGATGAACTCCGCGAGAAGATGCCAATGCTAACATGATGAACCATCTTCCTTCCGCGACAGGTACTTTCCCTACTACATCACCGTCGCATGCCTCGTAATCCTCTTCATCGGCCTCCTCCTCTGGCTAGTCTTCCAGCGTCGTCTCCTCCCAGCCATTGTTATGATCGGCGCCTTCATCCTCTTCATACTATGGTTCGTCGGTCTTGTTGTCGTGAGCATTCAGCTCTGGGGACCCGACGGGTCCGTCTCTAGCACGTGTAACCTCGCCGTGTTTAACCGGAGCCCGACGGGGCAGAGTCTAGACACCCTCGCTTGGCTGGAACAGAGGAGTATATGTGCGTTCTCTCCTTTCCCCTACTCGCTCTTTTCTTGGTGTGATGCCTATTTGTTTCTTCGTAGATTTCGAGAAGAGACGTTGTGAACGGGAGGAATGCTAATATTCGAGACCGTGATGTAGGCCAAGCGTGGCAGGCGGTGTTTTCATTTGCGCTGGTTGGTGCCATCTTCCTGCTTTGGATCATGGTCATGGCCTACCAAGTGTTTGCCAGCTCGTGATGAATTTGGGCTGAGACACGACTGTCCCGGGAATTATCATTCTCGTTTGGACGTGTGGTTGCGTAGTGTCGACGATGAAGCCTCAGGTTGCGCCTAGGCCGCAACGTTTATATTTTGACTGTATACCATTGCATGAGGAATATCCGACATACTCAACCATTTTCTGGAATAATCTTTTCGGCATAGTCCGACGCAACTCGACACATATACGGAGACATAAACGGTATCCAGCTTCGACAGTCTTATCGGCCGGCATGTACATACCGCCAGTTTTGCTACAAGAGACGAATTTACGAGTATGATCTGATGGATTTAATGGTTAGAGTCGCCGTCGGAGGAAGGTTGTCGTTCTCTTCCTTGGTTTCGGGCAATTGCACATATAGGCGTCTGGTGATTTTGGACGGAGGTTTCGCACGAGCTATTGTTTGGTGACCGGACTGCATGATTGCGTAGCGAAGGTGCACGAAGATGAGTAAAACGAATGCTGTCCAGAAATGACGAATTGGCAGTTATGGATAGTCAAATGAGGTAGCGCAAGCAAGCACAGCAAGGCAAGGTTGGATGGAATGACAAGAGTATATTCTGCATTGCGTTGTAACCGGACTATGCATGCATTCAAGTCGTTGTGTACTCTTAGACTGGATTCGACTCAGTTCACCCATGGAGCGATCTTGTATGGAGTACATGCTTCCCGTCTGCATTCGTCAACGGAAGCCAAGTATTCAGGTACATACTTGCTTGCATGTACCTGATCCGGTCCCCATAGTCTGAGACCAGCTTTGTTTAAGATCAACAGCATTTCGTCACTGAGATCGTCGTCACATGATGAATCTGTTGCAAGTGAACATGGGGAGGTACCTACCTCCCACAGTAGAGGGTTCGCATAGGTACACGCGTAGCTTTGACGGGAGCGGCTCTTGTTGGCGAATCGAGGCCTAGGCCCCCATGTTGATCTGACATGACGTAGCCAGCCGGCGGGGATACTGGTACACTACAGAGGTTCGGATTGAATCTCGAGACCTTTCACGCGCATTCATCTCGAGTGCCCTGAGCAAAGTGCGTGCGTTGGTTTGCCGTTCAGCCGGGCAGGCACCTTGGAAATGTCAGACAGACATGGGTGCCTTAGCTCGAGAGATAGACTCGATTTTCAGCCTGCCAAGCATCTTGGACTAGCATTCTCTCGGGAGGAAACAAGCCATGATGGCAGGAACAGCCAACGGGTGAGGACCCTGAACCTGCTTGGCATTCTGACTGGGTTGACATGACACGGGAAAGACAACTACAGATTGTGATAAGGTGCCTAGATGAGCAGACTCTCAACATCCGGTTTCTCTTGAACGACGGGTCGAGAGTGCATAAGGTCGCGGTACCTTACAGTCTTACCCTTGGAACTGCCGGCGAATGACGTAGGCAGGCAGTTAGCTATCTGACTTTGTTCAGATAGGTCAGAAATGGGAGTTGGAACTGGGAATCTGCGCTGTGTGGCTGCCAACTTGGGGGCGAGGGCATGGATTAGGTCATTGGACCCACGGGGACGCGGGTGAGAACTGGAAATGTCTGACGCTAATGGGGGAAAGCGGGGGAGGGGTCCTTCCTCTACCAAGTCCCTACCTCATGCCGCTCTGGTTGCCTCCCAAGCTCGAAGGCGAAGAACAGGATGGGAAAGGTAGGTTCCGTTGGCTGGGCTGATGGAAGGAGACTGGATGTATAAAGTGCCCAAGCATTCCTCTCACTCGTTCTCATTTTGATTCACTTTTACATACACCCACAAGTTACCCATACAAAACCGCTCTCAACAAGTACCACTATTCAACCACTTTCCACCACCACATAAGCTACAAACCGCAACTATCAACATGGACAAGCTCAAGAACCTCGCCTCCGGAAGCTCCGGCAACACTGCCGCTGCCCCAGGCCAGCAGAAGCAGGATCCTGTCGATAAGAGTAAGTTTAGACACTCGCCACTCCCACAATGGTTCGAATTCCTCTGACATACTCATAGTCTTCGACGCTGGCTCCAAGAAGGCTGGACACGACTTCTCTCCCAGCACGGACGAGAAGATCACCGATGCTGGTCGCGGAATCTACGAGAAGGTGACCGGAAAGAAGGTCAACCCTAAGATTTCCAACTAAATGTACAACATTTTTTGGTCACGACTCTTTCACGACAATGGGACGATTGCGGCTATGATATCTTGCCTCCCATATAGCTTTTAATGAACTACATTACCATTATGCCTTTGCTCTATTATGTGAGCTGGTGGAACTCACCATAGCCGCAAATTTCATGAATCCGCAAACGTACCCCCACTAGTATACGTTCTATTTGCATTCATTGTATGAACTTAGTGTTTGCTACCCTCACTGTAACAGCCTAACTGCAGTGGAAGCAGCGGACAAGGATGATAAATGGCTGTAGCTATTAGCTATGTAGGTAAATTTTGACCCAACGTAGGACATCAATTCCGATGGAGACCATTTTCAATGTCACAGTAACTACCTGAATGCCATAAAACCGCCCAAATCTAGTTTGATCTTGGTGCAGGGGAGCAATAACAGCAGCGACCTGACCAAATGGGAATGTGCATGCCGTGACTGGAAACAGCTATTGTTGACCTTCGAAGCTTTGGAGATGGTCTGGACCTTCTCGTCACCTTAGGTAAGCACTCGCTACCTAGCTGCCTTACGTGAGGTTGCCAGCGGGGCAGGTACGGCGGGATGTGAAGACCATAGGTACGCCGTGAGGTAGGTAGGTACCTAAGGTAGGGGGTCTGGACGGGAGCATTGGAGGCACCCGACCCCCATGTGAGGTGGACCGGGATTGTACCTAATCTGCTGGTGGGTGCCCTGCTGATAAGGTCTCTCTAAGCACCTAAGGTAAGGTAAGGTACGTGCCTACCAACCAGTCCGCCTATGTTTTTGTTTGTATTCATTTTCGCGGATCAACAGTCCGTTCTTCACACGTTTCTTAGCATCCCCTTTAGAGGTGCATATCTAGCTTCGATTGAGAAGCAACTCTAGGATTTTGTATCGTCCCGGCGTGCATCTAGGTACAGCCCATCACGCCTTGCAGCATCAGCCAACACGTTCATCACTGCAAAACTTCGTGTGTACGAGGAAGCACGTAGGGTAGAAATTTTTGCTGGTGCTTCCATTCCTTGTTGGTGGTTGCGGTACCTTGGGAAAAAGGGTGGAAGGAACACCACCAAATACCTAGGTACGTGCTTTCCTTCATGATAAGGTAAGGTACATCGGCGTCCTGCATGCGCGTGCGCGCCAGCATCCAATCCTCGACGCCCATCTCCTGCCAACGCACATGTTTTGTGCGACACGTTGACTTCGCCATTGTTGCTATCGCTCCGTCCCGATGCCACCACAGACTCGCGACTGACAAGGAGGGAGAAACTCTGACACTTCTTAGCTCAATCGGTTTATGTTACCTCCAGGTCGTTGCTTTTCTCATCCCTCACCGATCATTCATCACCAGCGCATCTTCTCCTTCGAAACGCCCTTTCAGCGCCCACCATTCCCCGGCTCGAGCCCCCCTCCCGAAACCGCCAATCATTCCCTCGAGGACCAACGACGGGCGAGACAAAGAAAAATCCACGTCCCCAGCCAGCCGAATGCATCCCCCCAATCGCCTAGCCAATTCCCACCATGGAACGTGATGAGACCCATCACGACGACTCCCGTCCTACTACTGCCCGTCGGGTTGACGACGACGGCGATGATGACACATCGCGGCTCAATCATTCAGGAAGCGCTACTGTTGACGAGTCGCAAAACACGCCGACCAAACCCCCTCCTGACGAACAACCTCACAACAACGAACTAGGTCGCCGTACCCCGTCCA